AAGAGATGATGATCATAATGAGGGGCATGGTAAGTGAATCTAGAATAGAAACGCATTGAAAAAATAGGAAACTTTAGAAAAATGGTGGAAACTATGAATACCCAACATAGGAAAGTAATGGGATTCATGAAATAGATTGAAACATATTCAGGAGATTAAAAATCTATTGAAAGTATGTACAGCAGAATCAAACCAATATGAGACCAGAATATTAGACCTAGAAAAAATGCTACAGAATTTCAAAATAAGAAGATAGGAAATTAACAGTGATTGTTATATTGCATAATATTAACTTCAAAGTAGTTGTTCAGATTACTAGATACAGGCATGCAAAATTGATGAAACAATTAGGTATTAACAATTCTTTCAACAAACCAATAAACTGGGCTACAAAATGAATTCAAGGCCAGCCTAAACTTCATAGTGAAACCCTGTCTATAAAAAACAAACAAAAAAGTCAATAGAATTCATGTAACACAGACCACAACATAGCAACTCTAAGCAGGATTTACATTAGCCAGGCTGGGGAGATAGCTCAGTAGAATAAGTGCTTGCCTGGCAAGTGCAAGGACCTGAGTTCAATCCCCAGCTCCGACAAAAAAAAAAAAAAAAAAAAAAAAAAAGAAAAAAAAAGGATTTAAATTAGCCAATTGGCTTTTTATGTTTATTTGAGAGTCTGTCCAAGGCCCAGGCCTCTCTTCTGGAGATCTGCAGTGGGCTCATAGTAAGTGAATCTTTATGAGTCACTGGTCCCAAATGAAGCCTTTACTGGCCTGTGAGGTTGGAATGCTTCAAAGGACAAGACAAGGCTACAGCTAAGGACACCTGTCTCTAACCTCTAAAATATATATACAGGCAGTATATATTTTCACTTCTGTGTGGAAAACTTCCTGGAGATAACATAGTTCTCCTAAATTAACATAATGTCTTACTTAGGAAAGTCCTTGAGTGTTCCCCACTTTCTTCAGTATTCCCCTTTCTTGTCTTGATAACGAAATACTAACCAAATAATAAATAATATGGGCTACTCAGAGAACTTTATCTTAGCCCCCAGAAAATCTCGAATTCTATTAGAAGAAAGTCTTGGAGCCCTAAAATCATATCACTTGACTCATTCATTTAAGCCTTTGCTGTCTGCTGATTTGGGAGATTACAGACCTGATTAGTCCACACTACATAAGGGGTAATACTAATGCATTATTCCTGGACACAAATAAAAAACTGAGAGGTAAGACAAAACACTTCAGTTACAATGATAACCAAAAAATGATACACTCCGAGATCAATCCAAGGAAGAACATAAAAGATCTTTGCACTGAAAACTATAGTAATAAAAAAGGAGATTGAAGAGACTTATCAGAAAATGGAAAGATATCACTCATTCTTGTTTGGAAATAAATAACATAATGAAAATAGCGATAATTCCAAAATTTGTATAAAGATCTAATGCAATTATGATCAAAATACCAAAAGCATATATTAGAGGTTAGAGAAAACACTCCTAAAATTCACTTGGAACCAGCAAAAACTTAGAACAACACAAATAATTCAGGGCAAAAGAGGCAAGGGAAGAAGCATCACAATCTCTGATTTGAAATTATAGTACAAAGCTATTGTGATAAAAACAACATAGTACTAGCAAAAGAAAAAGTCCCAAGGATCAATGGAACAGATTACAAGATGCAGAAACAACTTTAAAAAATACTCATCCACCTTCTCTTCGACAAAGGGATAAACATATTTACTGGAAGAAATATAATATTTTTAATAAATAGTGAAGAAAAATGGGCTTTCCACACATTGAAGATTAAACCTAGAACCATATCTCCCACTTTAAACTACAATCAAAATAGATCAAAGACGTAAATATTAAAACAGAAACATGAAAGCTGTTGGAAAATAGATTAGTTAGAACTACTAAATACAATGTGCTCTCTGTGAAAGCCTGAGAGAATGTTTTGCCTCCATGTGACTCTCCTTAGGCACACTCTACATCATCGATCACTTTCCTCTTTGGCCCCATAATCTCTGTGACTCATCCACATGGCTGACACTGACAAAGGATCTACAATCTGAGGTACAGGATCTCAGGATAAATCCTGAGGGGATTTCACTGACCTCATCAGTTCCGAAAGCTACAACTCTTGTTGCATAGGTCTTGCTTTGTCTGGTCTTAACCATCCAGCAGAAAAGTATAAACACAAAGCATAAGAAGTAAAGCCATGCTGTTATGTTGAGCTGTAGGGGACTCAGGTCAACAATTTATGACATTGCCAGTCAAGCGGAAGACCCAATACTATTATGGACTAATGGACTTTTAGAATATTTTGCTGAACTAACACACCTATAATATTCAAATAATAGAACTAAAAAAGGGGGGAATACAGATGAATGTTCATTTTGTATCCATGTATTCAAAATGGTTAGGATAGATATATAGTTACAGTCTCTTAATGAATAGAGGGATTTGTTCTAATAGTATTTGTAAATAGGATATCATGTCCGCATCTTGTACAGCAATTAACCACTAGGAAGAATGTATGCAATGTGTTAATTATTGAAACTGTCCTACCAATTTGGTTTGAAACTGTCTCATTGCTATTTGTTTCTCAATAAAATTATGGGAAAAAAATAAAATAAAAATTAGTACTAAAATTAAAAAAGAACTACTAAATACATAGGTGTAGGCAAAGACTTTATAAATAAAATCCTAATTGCTCAGGAAATATTCCAAAGAATTAAAAATTTGGAGCTCACTTTATTAAAAGCTTTTGTATAGTCAAAGAAATAACCCTAATAGTGAAAAGACAACCCAAAGAGTGAGGAAAAATTTTTGCCAGTGGTTTCTGAGACAAAGTACTAACATGTAGAACATATAAAGAACTGATAAAAATCAATTCTGTTAGATGCCTGTCTGGCTCTGAGCACTTTGGGGCCTGGCCTGGCCTAACCTTTTCCATCCTTCTTGACCCTATTCCCCACAGGCTGGAGGACTGTTTCTGGGGAATTATTAGGCCAGAGCCTTTTGAACTATAGTATCCCAGTGGAGGCCTAGATACTATTTCTGTGAGGATAAGTACTTTTTATTAATTTTTAAAGTTTTTTTGTGTGTGTGTTCATGCACGCGCATTTGTGTGTGCGCATGCGTGCATTTTGTGTGTGTGTGTGTGTGTGTGTGTGTGTGTATGTGTTACAGGCATTACCGTCTGGGATTACAGGCATATGCCACCACACTTGGACTTTATTTTTAATAATAATGCCTTTTCACAAATTTCTAGCCACTTTGTAACTTTATGATCTAACCTGGTGATAGAAAGTTATAAAAAGTCTACCTTTTCCAGAAAAAAAATCAAACCTCCCAAATTTAAAGGTACAATCCAGGCTGGTGTGATAGCTCAGTGGACTAAGTGTCTGATTAGGAAAGCACAGGGACAAGGGTTCCAACTGCACCACCACACGCCCAGCTGGACCAGACCCTGGTGTTGAGTACTGGCTGGTGCTGAGGCAGCCATCAAGACCAGGCGTGTTGGCATGCACCTGTAATCCCAGCACTGGGGAGGCTGAAAACAGGAGGATCACTATAAATCCAAGCTGCATAATGAGATCCTGTACCAAATATATATAAAAAAATAGAGATACAATCCAAAAATGAGCATCTGAGATAAATATACACTTCTCAAATGAATTGGTGAAAAAATTTTCAGCCTCACTAGTTATTCAAGAGATGCACATTAAAACAACACTAAGATTCCATCTCACTACAGCAAGAATGGCATTAGCAAGAAATCAAACAATAAAAAATCTTGGCAGGGCTATGGGGAAAAAGGAACTCTTCTTCACTGTTGGTGGGAGTATAGATTGATGCAACTATTGTGTAAATTAGTGTGGAGATTCCTCAAAAAGCTTTAAGTAGAGGCTCCATTTGACATAGCCCTTTCCCTTCTTGGTGTCCCCCCAAAAGAATTAAAGGCATCATAGCACAGTGATATATTCATGTCTATTTTTATAGCAGCAGTAATGATTATAGCTAAATTTTAGAAACAACTCAAATGCCCAGTAACCAATGAATGAATAAATAAGATGTGGTTTTTCTATACAATGTAGTAATACTATGCCATAAAGAAGGATAAACTTTAGACATTCCTATGTGAATGAATACACCTTGAGACTATGCTTGTCAATGAAATAAATTAGGCAGGACATGTATTTTGAAATATTGACTTGTATCTCTTGTGTGAGAAATGAAAAGGGTAAATCAGGACCAAGATGTATAATAGGTATATAGAAATAGAAAGAAAATGCTCAAATGGGAAAAGGAACAAAGGAGGGAAGGGAAAAGAAAAGAATAGAAGTGAAAAATGGAAACATAGCTTTTGTAAATAAGGGAAGAAAGGCTACAGGGATGGAAGGAGATTGGGGAAAACAGAAGACTAAGATACATTACATATACATACAAATTCCTTATGATGAATGATCATGATGTCTATCTAAAATGTACCAATAGGGGCCAACCGCTTGGGCCCCCCTCCTATCCCTCTCTTGGACAGGAGCTTTCTTTCACTCAATAAATCTATTCTGCTTATAACAAACAAATAAAATAAAATGCACCAATAAAATTAATTTTAAAAAGCAGAAGTGTGATAAGCCTCAATGTATATAAACAGATGCAAACATGTACATTTATTTATAAGAAGTATATACTCACCTACTTGTATGTCATTTGCATAACAATTATCATTTGCATGTTTTACTACCAATTCTTTGAATTATAGTTTGCAAGTATTTCACATATATGTAACTGGTTTTAAATACTCCATAGTATTCATTGCATGAACACTGTACAAGTTATCAAAAAAATAGCTGTTTTTTGATATTTTTATGACCACATATTACTTTGCCATGATAAGAAGCTATATAATACATAGTTCTGAATGGTCAATTACTGCATAAAATTTTAGATACATGTACTATTTATTATTCCAAACACTACTAGTACAAACCTTTCTTCTGATTGAATTAAGAGAAACTAACTATATATCTATGCTAACTATTTTGTATATATAGATACAAAATAGTACTTCATTTGTATTCCCCTTTTTGTTTAGTTTTTTCAGAGATGGGTATTCCATTGCCATTTAAATACTGTCGGTGCGTGATTCAGCAAAATAGTCCAATATGGTCTGGTAGTCCATAATAGTAGTGAGTTGTCCATAGGGCTGGCAATGCCAGAAGTTGTTGACTGGAGCCTTTTACAGCTGTATATGGTTAGATTTCTAAATTTCTGTGTAAAAATGTTATTGTTTATTCCTCTTTTTAAGATATTTTTTTTTTCTTCACATAAGGTAGGGATTTAAAATTTAACATATTAATACTTGATGTAGAGTGTTTGTTCCATGTTATGTCTAGGATGTTTAATGTTCAGACAGATAGTGAGGTTGGTCTCAACTGCCTATGTTGTAGGGTAATAATATCATTAAGCTTCTCTTCTGGAGGGTTAACAACTTAAGTTTGCAGACCAAAAATTAGAGAAAAAGAAGGGCTGGAAGGACAACCAACATTTTGTCCCTGGCCTTTCACGGTCAGTGAGGACTCATGACATAGGAGAATCTGTATTGTAACATCATGTAATTCAGTTGTGCTCCAAATTTACTGATCAAGGAGATTATGGGACCACAGAGGAAAGTGATTGATAATGTAGAGTGTGCCTAAGGAGAGTTACATGGAGAGAAAACACTCTCTCAGGCTTTCACAGAGAGCAAATTATTCAAGCAATGGCCGTGACTCATCCACATAGCTGACACTGACAAAGGACCTACATACTGTGGTATAGTCTTTCAAGGTAAATCCTGAGGGAATTTAACTCACCTTGTCAGATACAAAAGTTACATTTCTTGTTATATAGGTCTTACTTTTTCTTGGTCTTAACCATCCAGCAGAAAAATATAAAAACAAGGTATAAATAGTAAAGCCATATTAACCTGCCCTCTTCTTGCACAAGATGAGGATGTTCACAAAGTAAAGATCCTTGCCTGCTGCTAAGGGTCTCAGTTCACTGGTCTGCTAAGTCACTCAGTTAAACTTCTAAACTTCTCAAATTTGACACAACGTTTCAAACATTATGCCATTCAAATATATTTATATATATTTTGGAGATAAACAGATATAGATAAATGCATATACTCACCGCTTTAACTTATGTTCTATATGTTGTATGATAATCAATTGTTCTTTAGAGGTGTTATGCTCACAGAATTTTCAATTTAAAAATATTTTGCCAAATTACAATATTCTTAGATATTACAGTAAGCAAAACTGTATAACTCATAAGGAAAATAGGAACTCAAATACTAACCTCTTGTAAAAATCACTAAAATAAACACAAACTGTATAATAATATTGTAGCTATTACCCCTGCATAATAAATTGCTCTCAAATTTATCTCCTAGTGTATATTACATATTCAATTACTGGCTTTCCCATAAGGCTCTCACTGAATAATTTTAATGTTCAAATACCTGAAACGTGGCACGCATTTGGAACTAAACAAAACTTTATTGGATAAATGAAGTAATTAGACTGAAGGAATTATTATTATTGTTACTGTCATTGTTATTATTACATAATTAGTACAGAATCCATAGGGTCTCACTACAGAGATCAAACTCATAGTGATCCTCCTGTTTTCAGCTTCCCAAGTGCTGAGATTACAGGCAAGCCCCACCTTGCCCAGTCTCAGTCACCATCTCAGTGCACCTTGGGGGTGGGGTTGGTATGGCCCACTGGTGATAGAACTCCCATCCCTGCATCTGCCTAAGCCAGTGCTTCAGTCCGCTAAGCTATCTGGTATCTGGCTGGCCCTAGACTAAAGAACTTTAAACAACCAATAGAAAAAAGAAATTTCCTAGAGCTGGGGATTTAGCTCAAGTGGCACAATGCCTGCCTGACAAACATGAGGTCCTGAGTTCAACTTTTTTCAAGACAAAAAAATTTCTTGAAAAGATCACTGTCCAAAAATTACTGAAAGTTTCTTTTTGAAATGATGAAGTAGGCATACTTTTTTTATTTTTCTAAGTGTACCTAAATAAGAAAAGCATAAAATAATTGAAAAATGGAGAGAAAATAAATGACCAGTTAGGGATCTCCAATGAAACAGCATAACAGTGTGTTCTGGTTTTTTGTTGTTGGTGTTGTTCTCCATCTTGTTTTATTTTTATTTGGTTTTGACTTAAACACCTCACATCTCTAGATGAACAAACTAGAAACCCAGAACAATCAGAAGGTCCTCATCAAAAATAGCTACTATAAATGCCTGCTTTCTTTCAACAAAATACTAAGAAAGGCACAGGTTGAAGATCTAGAGAACTTTTCTTTTTCTTTTTTTTTTTTCTTCATTGTACCAGTGATTAAACTCAAGTCCCTACTCTTGGCAGTTGGGTGCTTATACCACAGATCTATCTCCCTGGCCTAAAGAACTTTTCAACCATATCTAAACATTACTATTTATGCCAGTAATGACAAGTTCAGCACCTAGACTTCCCCTTTTTACAAGCTGTAAGAAGTTACCCTAAAAAATTACTGCTGATGTTGCCTGAGATATCTCATCCTCGGTAGATGGTGAATACTGCTTTCTCGAACATTGAGTTAATAAACTTGTAGCTGGTAGGATGTGGCAACTCCTGACCTGTGCCGCCATGACAAGTAATGAAGTGTCCCTTATTCTCCTGTTGATGATAATATCAGAAGAAGCCTAGTAGAGATTAATGACTGCTATGATTGAATTTCTACTTCAAAATTTATATGCTAAAAGGCCATGGAGATGGCTCAGTGGAGTAAGCGCTTCCCTGATAAGCGCAAGGGCCTGAGTTCAATCTCCGGTTCCGCAAAAAAAAAAAAAAAAAGGTTATATATGCTAAAGTCCTAACCTCCAATGTATTATGATTTGGAAATTAAGGCTTCAGGATATAAGTAGGCTTTTTTCTCTGTCTTCTTCCATCCCACCCTCCCTGTGTCCCTCTCTGCCTCCTTGTCTCACAAGAACACAGTGACAGAGCCAATATAAGGTCAATATCTATAAACTGGGAAGAGACAGCAGCATAATTTGACCACAATATATCTTGGTTTTTCAGGCTCTAGAACAGTAATAAATATATATCTGCTGCTGACATCATCCAGTTTATCATACCGTATGATGGCTGCCTGGGTTACAAAAATAACCTTTACTGCATCAGAAAAGATGATAGAAAAAAGAAAATAATGAAACATGGAGAGAACACAGAATAAATTAACAGCACACTTATTTTCTATGATGTCAATAATATCAATTTTTTTTCTGTATGTAAGATTGGATGTACAAGGTCTACTGGGTCTCACTATGTAGATCAGACTGGTAGTGATTCTCCTGTTTTCAGACTCCCAAGAGCGGGGATTACAGGCACACGTCACCACATCCAGCACCAATCGTCATCTCAGTGCACTCCGGAAGTGTGGCCAGCATGGTATGCTGGGGATGGAACCTGGCCACTGAACCCTGCCTAAGTAGGAACTTTATTTCACTGAGCTATCAGGCTGGCCCTAATAACAACAATTTTAATGGCACAAATACAGTAAAAACTTTTGCAGAGAAGATTTTAAAATTATGACACAATTATTTGTCTATGAAATATAATTTAAATATGATATACAAGTCAGAAGTTGAAAGATGAAAATATATATGGCTGTGATATCAGAGAAAGGAAAATTTACAATAAAATAAATTCTTAGAGACAAAGGAATAAAAAGGGACAATATATAATGATGAAAGCTTTAATCACATAAGATTTGTAAATTATAAATCTGTATAAATTAAATGAATTACCCACAAAATATATAGAGCTAAAATGACAGGCCCCAAAAGGGAGAAACAAAAGATTAAACTAGAGATTTCAACTCCCCTTTTTCAACAATTCACAGAGCTAGGCAGATTTGGCAATAATACGTAAGAGCTGGACAATACCATTGACCAATAAGTTCCAATCTTAACAGCAGCAGAATTTCCATAATTTTCAAATGTTCACAGAATATAAAACAAGACAAAACACTTCCTGGATAAAAAAAATCAGATAAAATATAAATAAAAAAATTTAAAGCCTAATGTGCCTTAAATATTGATACAAAATGCTGAGTAAAGTTTTAGCAAATAGGGTTTAGTCACATGTAAAAATATTACACACCATAAGCAAAAAGAGTTAATTTCAGAGATACCAGGTTGGCTCCATATTTGAAAAACCAACAAATGTTATCTGTCATAATAATAGTCTATCAAAATTATAACTCTATCAATCAATGAAGAAAAAAATAAGAAAATTCAAAACCCACAAATGAATTATTAAAACAACAATCTTATTTAAAAATGAACACACAGGGGCTGGGGAGATGGCTCAGTGGAATAAGCATTTCCCTGGAAAGTGCAAGGGCCTGAGTTCAGTCCCTGGTTCCGCAAAAAAATAAAAAATAAATAAATAAAATGAAAATGAAAATAAAAATGAACACACAAAAATTTATGCTTTATAAAGAGCATGTAAGCCAGGCATGGTGGTGCACACCTGTAATCCCAGTACTCGGGAGGCTGAAGTAGGAGGGTCGTTGCAAGTTTGAAACCAGCCTGGGCTACAAAGTGAGCTCAAGGATGAATTGCATGGTGAGACCTTGTCTCAAAAAGACAGAAAACAAACAAACAAATAAATAAATGGCATCTAAAACATCAGCCAGGCAACATTATACTTAACTGTGAACAACTGAGTGCTTTCCCTGAAGCTCACAAAGAGGGACAGTAAGTCTCTTCTTCCTACACTTACTTAATATAGTATTTAAAGATAAGTTAGGGTAGTAAAGGAAAAAAAAGCCTAAAAACTATTATGAAGTATCATCAAATTGCTGCTATTTGCAATTTGCAGTTGACATGGCATAGTGTTCACATAGAAAGTCCCATGGGAAACTGAAAAATGAAACCATACAACAAGCAGTAATTCAGTTCATCAAGGTGAGGTGATTTAATATAAACATACAAAATCAAACATATTTCCATATACTACAAACTAACATGTGGAGAACAATACAAATTAAAATGTATAAGTTCTCAAAAAATAGTTTGTATTAATCCAATGAAACTTGTATAGCTCTTATATCATAAAAACTTTGTTACTAATTTTAAAAATTCCATGTAGATCCAAATAAATACAAATGCATGCCAAATTCATGGATGGGAAGACTAAAGAGTGACTCTTCACAAAGTGATATACTGATCTAATAAATTGCTAATAGAATCATAAAATATCTGACATTCAAGCTGCTTCTGATATAGTACAAGATAAAAAAGTAGAATAGATGAAAAAAATTTAAATTAAGAATAAGATTGGGGAAATCACAGAATCCAATGTTAACACATATAATATAGTTACAATAATCAAGAAAATGTGCTGGTGTATAGATAGACACAGATCAGCAAACAAAATGAACAGCCAAAATATCCTTCCCATAAGGCTGATATTTTCAGAAAGCTGAAAAATCAGGTTAACAGAATAAGCATAAACTTTACCACAAATAAGTGCTATGGCAATGGATACTGTGGGGAAGCTACAACACGATATCATTATACACATATACGCCAAAGCATAATGAAAAATCATAGGGACTTCACCGAACCTTGGCAATGATACAGGCAACCTGGATTGCTCACAAATTGCTTGTGAGGCTGTATAATATTGGACCATTATGGAAAGTAGGTAAATTCATAAAAAGAACTAAATTTGTAAATATCAAATGATACTACAATTGCCCTCTGAGGCATTTATGGCAGAGAAATACACTATTTGTTGTTCACAGATGAACTTGTATATAAATGTTCATACCAGACTGACCTACAATAGCCCAAACCTGGAAACCAAGCATCCATAAAATTATAAATGATACAAATGATTAAACTAAACATTCATACCATGAAATGCTACTTAACAAAAGAAAAGAACTACTTATACATGCAAGTGAAACAACTTGAATAAATCTCCAGTGAAATATACAGGAAAAAAATCTCAAAGATAAAATACAGTATTATTCCATCATG